TTATCGAAAATTTCCTGCTCTTTCTACTACCAACATAAAAAATTTCAGTATTGTTGTCAGGGTACAAAAAAATCAATATTTTTTTTTATGTTGGTGAGCAAATAATAGTATGGGCTTTGATTATATATGTATATATAGATAGCTCACCTAATACTAAAATTTGGAAACAAAGATAGTAGTGTGGGTAGCCTAAATCAAGGCGGAAATAATTATTTTTAGTTGCATTTCAGTAGTTAAAAGTGAAACTGATGGTTAGGTATTTGGCGTATAGATGGAACTTTAACTAGTGACAAGATTAAACGTATAATATTTTATTTAGTAGGTAATTAAAAATTATAAATAATTTAAAATAATTGCAAAACTTTTAATTTTTCTTTAAAGTTGTTGTTGGTTCAAATCTAATAGTAAAAATTTTACGTCCGGTCTCAAGACGGTGAGAGCCACTGACAATGAGTGCAACTAGCCATATCGGTACACGGTTAGACACAGACACAGTGTCTTGCGACAAAAAGGATTGTATTTGGTTATAAAAAATATTTTAATTTTAAGATCGGTAGTAGATAATTTCAACTTTTTCATTATAAATTTATTTTAACTTTCGATTAACTACTCTACAGTTAAACAGTTAGTGTTTGCTTAATTATTTTTTTTTCTCACAAATTATTAAATTTTAGAAGAACATCAGACAGACAAAAAAGTTTTAGAATAGTTTTATCTATCTAGCTGAAATTTTGCCAATGTATTTATCATATTTATAAAAAAAATTTAGGCATAAATTGAACGGGGGTGGTTACGTTTAGTAGTTTAGAAGGGTAGGTTGAAAGTACAAATAGGGTCAAAATATGCCCTATTATGAGCTAAACATATTCCCCAAATTTCATTTTCCCATAGTTTATGGTTTTTGAGAAAAAAAAATTAAACCAACATTTTTCGCCATTTTTGGAAGGGTGTAACTTCTTAAGGGAGCCGAAGTCGCCCATGGTTCATGATTATTTTCTTCAATTTCTATAGTAAATGTAAGGTTGTTATTTGAATAAAGTTAATAAAAATGAATGATTATTTTCTTCATTTTCTATAGTAAATTTACGGTTCTTATTTGAATAAAGTTAATAAAAACCTTAAATTTACTATAGAAATTGAAGAAAATAATCAACTTAATATAAGTACGAAGGCTTTCACGGCCGGTGTTAGTATTTTCTAGACTTAAATTTAACAAGAACAGACAAAGATAAAATTGAATACAACATTCATAGGAAACCATCGACCATCTCAACAACTATTCCTTATGATTCAGAGCATCCTATGTCACAAAAACTTGCCAATTTTAGATTTTTAATAAATAGAATATTTAACTATCCCCTCTCCGAACAGAATAGGATAAAAGAAATTGACTATGTGTTTGAGCTTGCATATAATAATAAATTCCCAAAACATATCATTAATAGACTATGTATTTTACAAAATACAGCAACAAAGAAAGGTGATGACGAAAAGTTATTTAGGAATAAATTGTTTATTATGAACTAAAAAGGTATTATTAATAAACAGATTTTGTTTAGATGTAATGATTTTCTAGTGATAAAGAGAAAATCCCCATAATGTCAAAATTGAGTACTTTTGTTATCAAAATCGATCATTACTCAAAAATTAATTGTGATGGAGATAAGTTTTTTTGAAATTAATTGTTTATTATGAACTAAAAAGACATCATCCACACAAACAGAACCAAATATATATAAACTATAAACAAAAAATATATAAACCAAACAGATTTGGTTTAGTTATAATGATTTTCTAGTGATAAAGAAAAAATCACCAAAATGTCAAAATTGAGTACTTTTGGTATTAAAATAGATCATAACTCAAAAATTAAAGGTGATGGAGAAAAGTTTATTTGAAATAAATTGTTTATTATGAACTAAAA